CCCGCCCCGCCCACGGCCTGCGCTTCTGCCCCTTTGAGGACGTGCTGGGTGTCGGTCACGGAGAGGGCTTTGCCAGCCTCCTGGTGCCAGGTAAGGCGGGGGAGGGGCCCTCCCAGCTGGGAGGGGGGGCAGAGGGGCTGTTTGCGGGGGAGCCGCCTTGGGGGCCTCGCTGATGCCGACGCCCGTTGCAGGAGCCGGAGAGCCCAACTTCGACGCCCTGGAGAGTAACCCCTTCCGGAGCCGGAAGCAGCGCCAGGAGTGGGAGGTCAAAGCCTTGCTGGAGAAGGTAACATGGGGAGGGGGGTGCGTGTGTGTGTGGCTGCGGTCCTCCCTCCCCTCATCACCGGACAGGATTGGATCCCGGGGGGGCGGGGCTTAAAGCAATAGTGTCGAAGTGGAAGAGATGAGGGGGGCCTCCCTCCTTTCTGTGTAAATGAGCAGGTCTGCAAAATAGTGGCTGGCGGAATGGAGAGTTTAGGTGGCTCAAGCCAGTGAGCCCAGCTGCATAGTAAAGCTGGACAAAGGGAGACAACTGCCCAGCCCTCCCCCCCACCTCCGTCCCCAAACGCCAGTCCTGTCCTTGCATCTGATTGGTGGGGATCCATCGGCAGCACCTTCTGAAGAGGAGGTCCCCTTAGGGTGGGAACCCTGCCCACTTGCCCTCTGCCTCCTGAACCGGGGCCTGCTTCCTCCCACAGATCCCGTCGGAGCTGATCTCGCTCGATCCCGGGCAGCTGGGCACCCTGGACGCCGTCTCCCTGGACCAGCAGCACCAGGAGCGGGTGGCCAGGCTGGTGAGGGGCACTGTGGGCGGGCGGCGGACTGAGGGGCGGCAGCCCGTCTTGGGCGGGTGCTGCTGCTGCAGCTGCGCTTGGGGGCCGTGTGTGTGTGGGGAGGGGGCTTCACACCTGCTCTTCTCCCCCTCCCCCTGCAGGGCTTCGACCCCCAGGACAAAGGCAAATTCTCCCCCCGCCGGCGGCGGAAGGGGCGGGACTCGGCCGGCGGCCGGCTGAAGCGAAAACAGAAGGTGGCGGCCGAGGAGCAACGGGTAGGTCTCTTCCGCCTCCGCCTCCCCCTCCTCGTATTGCCTTGCAAATCCCCCCACCCCACCCCCGTGGGGACCTTCGTGGCCAGAGGCTCCCAGGATCTTGGGGTCAGGGGGGCCGGTCTGGATCCAGCAGGGCTCTTCTCCTCTGCCGCCTTCTGCTTCCGCCCATGACTGGATCTCCGCGAGGTGCTTAGAAAAGGATCTAGAGCAGGGGTGTCAAACGTGAGGCCCGGGAGCCGGAACCGGCCCGCCCAGCGCTCTTATGCGGCCCGTGAGCCACTAGTTGCAAGGGAGCGAACAGGAGACTCTGCTCGGAGGTGGGGAGCCATGTCCCCTCTAAGCTGAGTTAGCGTGAGCCAGCTCACAGTGTTTTAGCCTCCGGCTCACACGTTTTTGTCTTGGCTCGGGAAGGATGCCGTGGCCAAATCACTCGCTCACAACTTTAATGCCAAAATCTCACAAAGCTGATTTTTTGCTCACAAGACTCCACAGCTTAGAGGTAGCATCGGAGGGGAGTGGGCGATTGTGGCTTTGGAACGGCGGAACAACCTTGTGTGCAGCCGTCAAGCAGCGTGGGAGACCGTCCTCCCAGCGCGGCACCCCTGGCTCTCCGGTCTGCCCGTGTGGGTTTTCCTTGGCAGCCCCCCTCCCCCCCCAGCCCAGGGGGCCTTGCAGCGAGGGCACAACAACTTGGAGTTTGCCAGCTGCTGTCCTTTATACAGTTTGGGTGTCGTGGTGAAGTGCGCGGACTCTAATCTGGGAGAACCGGGTTTGATTCCCCACTCCTCCTCCCCTTGCACCTGGCTGGATGACCTTGGGCAAGCCGTAGTTCTGATAAGAGCTGTCCTTGAAAAAGAGCAGTTTCTGTCAAGAGCTCTCTCAGCCCCCACCTGCCTCACAGGGTGTCTGTTGTGGGGAGGGGAAGGGAAAGGAGTCTGTAAGCCGCTCTGAGACTCCCTTGGGTAGTGAAGGGCAAGGGGAATACATCCACTCTCTTCTAGAGAGAGCCAGTTCAGTGTCGTGGTTAAGTGCGTGGACTCTAATCTGGGAGAACCCGGTTTTATTCCCCACTCCTCCTCCCCTTGCACCTGGCTGGATGACCTTGGGCAAGCCGTAGTTCTGA